AATAACAGAAAGGGATGGTGCGAAAATGCAACCTTCGGAAACAATAATGGAAACTACCAACTGACCGCCCGGATCCCGTGCGCGCGCGCGGGATCCAGGATGACCGTTGGTAGCCTGACAAAAGCTAGAGACGTTCTCCGCAATCCACTAGCACCCAAGAGGTCGGAGGAGGTCAAGTCAGGCCTCTCGATGACCCGAGCAATAGGAAAAGGATGGCACGAAAACAAAAACAATAAGAAATGTAGATAAGGGTAAATGCGTAAATTCTAACTCGGATAGAAGGCAAATAGCAGGCCGGAAGGCAAGTCAAGTAAGCCCCACTTAACAGAGCCAGGAGCTATTCTTACGCAGGAATAACTACCGATATCTAGATGGATATTGGGAGGCAGTTAGAGGGTTAGTTGTTAAAGACAAGGAAACACCGTGTCCCCCTGTATGCGTATGAGTACCAGTCCCTGCCTGTGCGAAGTTCTCCTTGGAGATGTGCCGTTGTCGGGCAGGTGTAAACCGTGGATGCGTGCCCGGGGTCTTCATAAGAAACCTTACCCTTCAGGCATGAGGTTTAGGGCCTTCACCCTTCCCACCATACTCAGGTGGCCGTATACTGGCGTCCTCTTGGATAGTATGGCAACGGTGCTTGCCTGGACACCTGCCTATCTCCATGTCACTAGTGGGTACTGGCTTTTCCTCAGTGATATTTCCCCAGGCCTGCGGACAAAAGGGGGTCGGCACCGGTAGAGCAGGCCCATCAGAAGGGCACAGGCCCAGCAGGCCAAACGAATGGGCACAGAATAGTTGGCCAATCAAATAGGCACAGACATAGCAGGCCAATCAATGGGGTACAGACATAGCAGGCCAGTCAATGGGGCACAGACATAGCAGGCCAATCAAAGAGGCACAGACATAGCAGGCCAATCAATGGGGCACAGACATAGCAGGCCAATCAAAGGGGCACAGACAGAGCAGGCCCGTGATAGCGTTCCAACAGCCGTAGGGCCCATCTGCGTGTGTAGAGTCCACTATATATATATGTATACGTAATGAAACAGGGAAACCTTTGGTTAAATAATTTCAATATGTAAAACCCACTAGCAGGGTAGTAATGTGATTATAACAGTATTTTTACATAATACCTCTGGATAGTGATGCACCGAACGGTTCGCCGGCGAACATAGCGTGTTCGCGTCCGCCGCGGACGGCGAACGCATGCGCGGTTCGATCCGCCCCCTATTCGTCATCATTGAGTAAACTTTGACCCTGTACCTCACAGTCAGCAGACACATTCCAGCCAATTAGCAGCACACCCTCCCTAGCAGACCCTCCCACCTACTGGACAGCATCCATTTTAGATTCATTCTCAAGCTGCATGCTTAGTGAGAGGAGGGAAAGTGTAGCTGCTGTTGATTAGATAGGGAAATGCATAGCTAGGTTAGGGTTAGGGTATGCTTTTTTTTTTTTTGTGTAATGTAATTGCAGTTAGTTGTCTGCCACTGCTGCCAGCTTCTGTGTCAGGCTCACAGTGGATACTGTGCCCATTTGCCCAGTCAGTGCCACCACTCATATCTGGTGTCACAATAGCTTGCATTTAAAAACAAAAAACTTTTTTCACTGTTATAGATTGAATAGCAGTAGTTGTCTGCCACTGCTGCCAGCTTCTGTGTCAGGCTCACAGTGGATACTGTGCCCAGTGCCACCACTCACTCTGGTGTCACAATAGCTTGCATTTAAAAACAAAAAAACTTTTTCACTGTTATAGATTGAATAGCAGTTAGTTGTCTGCTACTGCTGCCAGCTTCTGTGTCAGGCTCACAGTGGATACTGTGCCCATTTGCCCAGTCAGTGCCACCACTCATATCTAGTGTCACAATAGCTTGCATTTAAAAACAAAAAACTTTTTTCACTGTTATAGATTGAATAGCAGTCAGTGTCCTTAAAGCCGGTGTGTTAAGCTAACAGTGGATACGGTGACCAGTGCCACCACTTAGATCTGGTGACACAATAGCTTGGATTTAAAAACAAAAAACTTTTTTCACTGTTATAGATTGAATAGCAGTCAGTGTCCTTAAAGCGGGTGTGTTACGCTAACAGTGGATACGCTGACCAGTGCCACTAATTCGATCTGGTGTCACAATAGCTTGGATTTAAAAAAAAAAAAACACTTTTTTCACTGTTATAGATTGAATAGCAGTCAGTGTCCTTAAAGCCTACTTCAGCGTGTGCTCTGCAGACCTTTGCCTGTGTACTTTGCCACTCATATCTGGTGTTTCTGTAGCGTGCTTTTACAAAGAAAAAAAGGTTTCCAGTGTAAGCTAATAGCAGCCAGTCAGTGTCCTTCAAGCGGCTGTGTCAGGCCTACAGCCTGTGCCCTGCACAACTGTGCCAGTGCACATTGCCACTCATATCTGGTCTCACAGTAGCTTGCACGCATAGTACCACTAATCCCCCAAAAAATGACAGACAGAGGCAGGCCACCCCGTAGGGGCCATCGTGGTCGTGGTGCTGTGATTCCCTTTGGCCCCAGAATAATGCCCAGTTTTCAGAGGCCACGTACCCTGAACTTGAAAAGTTCTGAGGACATAGTTGACTGGCTAACACAGGACACCCAATCTTCTACAGCCTCCGCTCAGAACCTTGACGCACCATCCTCCTCCAGCTTAGCTTCAGGCACCTCTCAAGATACCACTCACCCGCCTGCCGCCACCACCAAAACTAGCACCACAGCAGCTTTACTTGGTATGTCAGAGGAGTTATTCACACATCCGTTTGAAGAAATGAGTGATGCGCAACCATTATTGCCAGAGGATGTAGATAACAGGGATATGTCTCAGGCAGGCAGCATTACACACATGGACGTACGGTGTGATGATGATGATGATGTTGTACCCGCTGCTGCTTCCTTTGCTGAGTTGTCAGATACAAGTGAAGCGGTTGATGATGACGATGCGTCCATGGATGTCACGTGGGTGCCCGCTCGTCAAGAAGAAGAACAGGGCGAAAGTTCAGATGGGGAGACAGGGAGGAGGAGGAGATGAGTTGGAAGCAGGGGGAGGTCGTCGCAAGGAGCTAGTGGCACAGTCAGACAGCATGCATCGACACCCGGGGTCAGCCCGACAGCACGCCAATCAACGCATGCTGTGTCCACCACCAGAATGCCGTCATTGCAGAGCTCAACAGTGTGGAATTTTTTTTGTGTGTCTGCCTCTGACAACAGCGATGCCATTTGCAACCTGTGCCAAAAGAAACTGAGTCGTGGGAAGTCCAACACCCACCTAGGTACAACTGCTTTGCGTAGGCACATGATCTCACATCACAAACGCCTATGGGATCAACACATGAGTACAAGCAACACGCCTACTCTAAGCCGCCATCCTCCTCCTGGTCCAGCATCTTCAGCCACGTCAACCACTGCTGTCCTCCTTGTCCCCTCTCAACCATCCGCCACTCCGTCTCCCGCCTTGAGCAGTTCCCGCTCATCTGCCCACAGTCATGTGTCTGTCAAGGACATGTTTGAGCGTAAGAAGACAATGTCAGAAAGTCACCCCCTTGCCCAGCGTCTGACAGCTGGCTTGTCCGAACTATTAGCCCGCCAGCTTTTACCATACAAGCTGGTGGAGTCTGAGGCATTCCAAAAATTTGTAGCTATTGGGACACCGCAGTGGAAGGTACCCGGCCGAAATTTCTTTTCACAAAAGGCAATCCCCAACCTGTACTCGATTGTGCAAAATGAAGTAATAGCATGTCTGGCACACAGTGTTGGGGCAGGGTCCATCTGACCACTGATACCTGGTCTGCAAAGCATGGTCAGGGCAGGTATATCACCAACACTGCGCATTGGGTAAACCTGCTGACTGCTGCCAAGCATGGAATGCATGGCTCTGCAGAGGAGTTGGTGACACCGCCACGACTTGCAGGCAGTCCTGCTGCCACCTCCTCTACTCCTCCTACTCCATCCTCTTCCATAACCTCCTCGGCTGAGTCCTCTTCTGCTGCTGCGTCTTGCTCCACATCAACGGCACCCCCCCAGCTCCCCAGGTACTATTCCACATCCCGGATACGGCAGTGTCACGCCGTCTTGGGTTTGACTTGCTTGAAAGCAGAGTCACACCGGACAAGCACTCCTGTCCGCCCTGAACGCACAGGTGGAAAAGTGGCTGACTCAGCAGCGACTGGATATCGGCAAAGTGGTTTGTGACAACGGAACAAATTTGTTAGCGGCATTGAAGTTGGGCAAGTTGACACATGTGCCGTGTATGTCACATGTGTGTAATCTGATCGTACAACGCTTTGTGCATAAGTACACAGGCTTACAGGATGTCCTGAAGCAGGCCAGGAAGGTGTGTGGCCATTTCAGGCGTTCCTACACGGCCATGGCTCACTTTGCCGATATCCAGCGGCGAAACAACATGCCAGTGAGGAACTTGATTTGCGACAGCCCGACACGTTGGAATTCAACACTCCTAATGTTCGACCGCCTGCTCCAACAAGAAAAAGCCGTTAATGAATATTTGTATGACCGGGGTGCTAGGACAGCCTCTGGGGAGCTGGGAATTTTTTTGCCTGTAGGTTCATGCGTCCTTTTGAGGAGGTGACAAATTTAGTCACTCGCACCGAAGGCACCATCAGCGACATCATACCATTTGTTTTCTTCCTGGAGCGTGCCCTGCGAAGAGTGCTGGATCAGGCCGTAGATGAGCGTGAAGAGGAAGAGGAAGAGTTGTGGTCACCTTCACCACCAGAAACAGCCTTATCAGCATCGCTTGCTGG